TCTGGCGATTTCTGCAACCGAAGCTATGTTTCCGAAACATGAGTCGTGTTGCAATGTCTGCCCTCGTACACTCTAACGCGGGGCGCTCATTCTGCGCTTTTTGCAACCGGGGCTATGTTTCTGAAACAATACCCTTGTTGTAGAAGAGAAAATACTCATCGTCGAACCATTTTTTTTCTTTCTGAAACAAGACCTCTATTGCAGAAACTTTCTAAAACTAGACCCTGTTGCTGAAAGAAAAACTTCACCGCCAAACACTTTTTTTTCTTTCTGAAACAAGATATCTGTTGCAGAAAGCTTCGGAAACAAGACGCTGGTTGCACACACACAAAAAACTAGCCGCACAAGACTTGTCGCTTCGGAAACAAGAGCGCTCGATCAAAATCAATCCGACGGTTACGCGGGCGGCGGATGCTGTGCGTGCATCAGCCGGCCGAAGGTTAGCGTTTTCCTTTTAAAATCCCGCGAATCAAAATGCGTAGAAATTGGACAACAGCGCTTTGGCTCTCGGGTGCTTCTGCCCCCGTAGATGAACAGCAAAATCGTTAAGAATATTAAAAATAATAATCAGAAAACGCCAACCCTTTTTTGTGATGCTCATGTGCGGAAAGGCCGTATCAAATTTCGTGGAGTTTGAACATTTCAATAGCTCTCATCAAAAAAGTTAATTCCAGGGCTGTGGCGCTAACAGTGGTATTTTGGTTTTCAGAATCACTAACAATGATTTCTTTTTTGTTAGGAAACAAAATCACTAACAATGATAGTAGTGCTACTCACGCAGGCCTGCAGCAACCGCATCCCCCACCTCTCGCCCTTGCGGTTCCTACCGTCACCACTTTTCCCGGTAAGAACAAGAAATCTTTCTCTCTCTCGTGTCTTTGACTCAAACCTGGGCAAACGTCGGGCCGGACCGGGTTTCGGGCCGGGCTTGTAAAAGCCCGACCTTCATTTCTCAAGCCCGAGCCCGGCTCGAAGCCCAAAATACTCCCTGATTTAAAGCCCGAGCCCGGCCCGAAATCAAGCCCGAAGCCCGAAAGTCCGGCCCGAACGCTATTTTTTAGTACGTGTACATGAAAGCCCGGCCCGAAGCCCGAAAGCCCGGCCCAAAAAATAGAAAAAGAGAAGCCTGAGCCCGGCCCGAACTACATCCCGGGCTGCAAAACAAAGCCCGAGCCCGGCCCAAGTGTCAAGCCCGGCCCAGCCCGGCCCAGGTTTTTCGGGCCGGGTCGTCTGGCCGGGCTGCCCATGCCCGGGTTTACTTTGACTCCTCGCTAGTCGCCACGCAGTCGTGCGCTTGTGTCGCTTTCCCTTTTCTTCCCCCCGTCGCCTCCACCCACCAAATCCTTCCCGTCTAAAGTTCCACCTCGGAGTCCACCGTATCCCCTCACCATCGCCAACAACTGCTGCCCGCTCCCTACACAACCATCGCTCCCCCAACCCCTCACCCCGTTCCCCCAGCACCCCAATCCGGCCAGCCTCCGCCGCATCCCCTCTGCATTCCTCCCCATCCCGGCGATCGACCGCGCAGACCGCTTCGCGCGCGCGGCCGACGGGTCGGCTCTCTCTCCATCTCGCGCGCGCGCGTCTGCGGCTTCTGGTTCTCTGAATTTTTTGTTGCTGCTCCTGGTGTTTGATGGCGCAGGGTCTGGAGGAGAAGTCGAGCGGCATTGCTGGATTCGGCGGCACGCGTCGGGTCGGAGGAGGCGCCTGACTGGCTGGCAGGTGAGCGATGCTCTTCGTGTGGTTAGAAGTCGGGCGCCGCGGGGGTCGAGTCTAGCAGACGGATTTGGCTGCTAGACTTAGTTGTTGGTTGTTTGTGCGTGGCTTGCCAATCTTAGTAATAATAATACTGTGCGCGGTGATCTGGCGGGAGGCGGCGGGGTGCACTCCCGGCGTTTGATTTTGGTTCGACGCGCGTTTTGGATTGGGTGAGGTGCTTCTTAATTTGGCGGGTTAGGTGATTGGGCTGTTGTAATCTAATGTTAGCCTGCGACGCTGGGAGAACCCAATCTGTGCCTACTATGTTGAGTGGAGTAGACGCCATGGACTCCCCCTCCCCAGTCGATGAACTAACTGGTTATTTCAGTCAAAGGGACACGAAAGAGCAACTGAATTTGGGTGACAATCTATTATTAGGATGCCAAATTGCGTCTGGCCGATGGAATGCCAGAACCTAACCTATATGCTATGTTCAGTAAAGGAGATGCTGTGGACACTTCTAGTTGATCAACTCTTGGTTATACTCCAGTCCAGTCAAAAGATGGAGAATAAAACTGGCCTTTTGAAGCCGAACCAAAGTGCGGATAGATTGAGTGCCTGAACCTGATCTGTATGTGGAGTGAACTAGACGTGATAAACTGGTTGGTTCAGTCAAAAGAAGGAGATAAAATAGTTGGATGTGGGTGATATCCTAATATTAGGACGCCACGTTGCGGGCAGATGGAATGCCTCAACCTATGTGTTCAGTAAAGCAGATGCCATGGGCTCTTCTAGTCGATGAACTGTTTGGCTTTTGAAGCTGAACAAACAGTATGAACTCTGAAGTGTTTAAGGGCCTGTCCAAGTGTTTAGACATTTTTCTGGCTGCGAAGTGAAATTGCTTAACTCACTGACAATGGCCACAGATTTGTTTATCCTTTAGATTCTTCATTCATGTCTCCCATGGGATCTGTCAGATATATATATTCCATCCTGTACTCTTTTACACTACAGCCAACCTCTTGCATATAAGATTCACAGCTTTGTTTTAATCAAGCACTTCATCTGCTGCAGTTATATGTACTGATAAATAATGAAGCCACCTTGCTCCCTCTATTTGAACTTACAATGGATTCACTTTGTCTTTGCCCCATGTTAACATTTTCTTCATGTCGCGTTTAATTACGCAGGGTTTGGAGTAGGAATCGAGCGGCATTGCTGGATTTGGCGGCACTCGTCGAGTTGGAGGAGGTGTGTGACTTGACGGGTGAGTAATACTCTTCGTGTGGTTAAAAGCCGTGATGAGTCGGGTCCGGTAGATGGATTTGATGCTATGCTTGTTAGTTGTCTATGCGCGGTTTGCCAACCTTAGTAATATTGTGCATGGTGATCTGCCAGGAGACGGCTGAGTGCACTCGCGGTGTTTGATTTTGATTCGATGCGTTTTGGGTGAGGTACTTCTTAATTTGGTGGGTTAGGCGATTGGGCTATTCTAACTTAGCCTGCGACGCTGGGAGAACCTACTCTGTAGGTGTTGAGTGAACTAGATGCCATGGACTCTCCCTCCCATTCAATGAACTGGTTAGTTCAGTCAAAGGGAGAGGAAAGAGCAACTGAATTAGGGTGATAATCTAATATTAGGATGCCACATTATGGAATGCCTGAACCTAACCTGTATGTTCAGTAAAGCAGATGCCGTGGACTCTTCTAGTTGATCAACTCTTGGTTATAATCCAGTCAAAAGTTGGAGATAATACTGGCCTTTTGAAGCCGAACTGAAGTGCTTAGGTGATTGGCTATTATAATCTTAGCCTACGACATTGCGGATAGATTGTGTGCCTGAACCTGTTCTGTATGTTGAGTGAACTAGACGCCATGGACTCTCCTGGTCGATAAATTGGTTAGTTCAGTCAACAGAAGAAGAAGAAAGAACTGGATTTGGGTGATATTCTAATATTAGGACGCCACGTTGCGGGCTGATTGATTGCCTCAACCTATGTGTTCAGCAAAGCAGATGCTATGGGCTCTTCTAGTCGATGAACTGTTTTGCTTTTGAAGCTGAACAAACAGTATGAGTTCTGAAGTGTTTAAGGGCCTGTCCAAGTGTTTAAACATTTTTCTGGCTGTGAACTGAGATTGCTGAACTCATTGTCACTCGTTGACAACGACTAGATCTGTTTATCCTTTGGATTCTCATGTCTCCCATGGGATCTGTCAGATATATACTCTTTTTTTCTAAAGTTTGTCAGATATATATGCCATTCTATTTACACTACAGTCAGCCTCTTGTATCTGATATTGGCAGGCTTTATTTTAATCAAGCACTTCATTTCCTGCAGTTATATACTGATAAATAATGAACCCACCTTGTTTCCTCTATTTAAACTTGCAATGGATCCACTCGTCTTTGCCCCATGCTAACATTTTCTCCATGTCTTTTTTTTTTTTGTAAAAAAGAGGTGAGATCTGCATCATGCATGCAAGAAAAGAGTGATGATGCTTGCATAGTTACAATGCAGTAACACAAATACGGCAGAGCACAGCTTGGGCGAAATGCACACACATACACAACTTATATAGCTTTTAAGCCTTTAATAGATCGACCTAATCTGCAAGCCACCTAAGCTAATTTTCTTCCAGACCTACTCTCGTTTTTGGGTGGGATTCATCATTTGTTTGGCCGATTTCCTTTCGTCTTTGGTACTCAACCTTGATAGAAAGTTTGTATAAAATTGATCTGTTTGACAAGAAGATAAATAAGATTAAAATATAAAGTTCAATATTAATCTGTTGTATTTAGGTGGAATTGGCCAGCATGTTTGGCCGATTTCCTTTATGTTTCCTGTTAGTTCTACTCTACTTTATCTTCAACAAATGCAATGGAATTGGCCAGCATGTGACTGTTTTCAGGTGGTGCATACTCATGTTTTAGTTTCTTTTGTGCACATTGGAAGAATGTGAATGCAGAATTAATTCAAGATCATGCCTGTAAATCTTCTACACTCCCTCCATTTCTGTATTGCAAGGCCACTTCGTTTTTCGTGTCAAACTTTGACTTATATTGAAATGTGCATCCAGTGACATACTTTTTGTGGCATATAACTCACTTTTTTGTTAGTAAAATTAATGGTCAAAGGTAGACATAGAAATATGAAGTGGCCTTGTATACATAAATGGAGGGGGTATATGTTATATGAAATTTCATAACCCAATTTTTCCCGCAGGCACCAACAGCGCTATGATGTATTTTGTATTCAGATGACATAAGGAGTATTGTGTCTCATATATTTGTTTAGAAAGAGATGAAAGTTGGTGCTCTTCTGACCTCTGCTGGAATCAACATTGGTCTCTGTATACTTTTTCTGTCATTCTATTCCATTCTGAGAAAGCAGCCACAAAATGTTAAGGTCTATTTTGGGAGAAGGATTGTTGAGCAGCATAAGCGGCTCCGAGGGGCTTTTATTTTGGAGAGATTTGTTCCATCTCCTAGCTGGATTGTGAGAAGTCTGCAATGCACGGAAGATGAGATCCTATCTACCGCTGGGTTGGATGCAGTTGTTTTCAATAGAGTTCTGGTATTTAGGTGCATACTTTTTTACTTTTACTCTCTTTGCCTCTTCAATATTTACCGTTCGATGTTTATGAGAGAGATCTTTTGAGTTGTGCTAAGTAGAAGGTTCACTTTTGAAAATAGCAACATGTTAATGTGACTTTTTAAGCTATATTGCTTTCACTTCTAATCTTTGATATGTGAGTGACATAGTTTTCCTCCTTCAAACTAGAAAATTCAGAACATTTTAATATGAAAGCTGAATAAGAAAATCTAATTAACTTTGTATAATTGCAGAAAAATAGGAAATGTGACCTGATATCTTAATGTAGAGATGAATCGAAACAACAAACTTAATAAATGTAATCGCCTCATAGATCAAAATGAAATCGCTGGACTTAACTAATCAAATGGGCAATCTGGGGTATGTTTGTTGCAGTTTATTCCAATTTAATTACTTCTGTATCCACAAGCATTATTTATTCATCACCATTCTTGGTAGATGTGGGTTTCTTCTGTTTACGGATGATGTAAACATCTGTCTACTAAAAGGAAACAAAATTATATTAGAAAACATCGTTGATATCCTTCCACTTTCAGCTGATGTTTATGTTTTTTCAACAGCATACACATATTCTCATTAGCTGCCATTCTTTGTTTATTTGGAGTTCTCCCATTGAATTATTTTGGACAAGATATGCGTCATGAACGGATTCCTTCAACATCATTGGAGACATTCACAATAGGAAATATGAAAGAGAAATCAATATGGTGAGCAATTGAACTTCTCTTATTTGGTTATGAGGAGGCTAACTAGATTCGTTGAATATGCCATCTTATATGTTTCATCTTTTGTTTAGCTGATTTATACCTTGTTCCGGTGTTACCTAGGATCTAAGTTACTAGTTCTGTGTTTGTCGTATATACTTGCCATGTAATCATTTAGGCAGATTTCTTTGGAACTTATACTCTTGGATTTTGTTTGGTCATAACTGCAGGCTTTGGGTCCATTGCATCGCGCTGTACACCATATCTGGTGTAGCTTGTTTTCTTCTATATATGGTACGCATCAGTAATTTTACTTTTCAAAATTACTTAAATGTTCAATTACCTTAATCTTCAGGAACCTTATTTGTAAAAAAAAATCCTACATTGTTGCTTTAGGAATACAAGCGTATTGCTAGACTGAGGTTGCTTCATCTTGTTCGAACAATGAGCAAACATAGCCACTTTACTGTTCTTGTCCGTGGGATACCAAAGTCAACTCATGAATCATTCAACAGTGTTGTTGAGAGTTTCTTTACAACGTACCATGCACCGAGTTACCTATCTCATCAAGTTGTTTATAAAGTTGGTAAACTTCAGAAGATAGTGGTAAGCAATATCTCATCAAGTTATGTGATATGTGGACTTTACCAACTTTCTATTCTCTTTTGTGGAAATGTAATGCTGCCGCTGGAGATTCCTGATTAAACATTGTTGTACTTATCTCTGCACTATCCCGTGATAATGAAATATTAAAATTGTTTGATAGCCACTGATAAACAAAAGTAGATCAGTGGTAGTCTGGTAGAGCACAGGCACAAGCACTGTACTCATGGCAAGTCAAGGCAGCCCAGGGGTGCCATGGCGATAGTTAGGCATTAAACAAACATAATATATCACATGGCAGAAAATGTGAAACTATACCTCATATTGTTTTTCCATACGCCTCCCAACAAGGGGAGCGGGGTTCCACTATAAGCTTAACAAACAGAGTTTTGTTGCAAAATGAGAAGGAAACAAAAACTAAAAGAAATAAAGTCCAGACAACCAGCTGCAAAGAATTAACCAGACCAGGCCACCACCCAAAAGACCTGAATACAAACAGCAAAGGTTCATAGCAAAACAGACGCTAGCACCAGCACAAAACAAAGTACTACAACCTTGCATCCCAAGGTCCCACATAGCACCAAATGAGCTTTTTCAATAGGTACCAAAGTTACTGGCGGTCTTCCTCTCCTCGTCCAGACTGACCACCTTCATCTTCTTCCTCCGCCTCTGCAATGCTAAGAAGAGTATTGTTTGGAGAGGCACGGGCAGCTTCATGAGTCCTAACAGCAGAGTTACGGATCGCTGACGCCCCATCCAGCAGGTTTTGCTTATCACTATCCTTCATATTAGGAGATTTAGAACTTAAATAACAAGTAACATCAACATAAAGGCTGCACCAGTTAAGATCAATTAGGCCTTGTACAATGCTAGATGCTTGGGAGGTGCTTAGAAAAATAAACCGGACTTTTCTGAAGCACCGGTGCTTATTTCTACAGGAGAGATGCCTAGTTAAGCGTCTATCCTGTACAAATAAGCACCGATGCTTAAGAAAAGTCTTGTTTATTTCTCTAAGCATCTCTCTTAAGCACCTTGCATTGTACAAGGCCTTAGCAATTAGCAAGTCCATACCATCGGACAACTATACAGCAAAGAGCAAACTAATACGTTGGTAGCATTTATCATGACCTGACATGACTTGAATACACGCCCTCAAGCCTCAAATCATTTTGTGTAGATTATGGGAAGTCTTCTTTCAACTTCACTGCTTCAACTTCGTCCTCCTCATCTGTATGTAGTTGCATGGCTTTAAACATCCCTGTGTTTAAGTAGTGGTGATCTCTTCAGTAGGACTACTTGTCATCAATAATATTTTGCAACATGCGGAATCGTTGTAGTTTTTTAGAGCAATGCAAACCACCTTTATTGAACCAGTAAAGCAGGACTATAATTACCATAAAGCACTGCCAATGAGATTATGAGAGGCCGGTGAGCTGTTTGACCAGCACCATCTTTGCATATTGCTATTGGCTTGTCTAGAGCATCTCTCTAACGGAACTCTTAAAACTCATGCTAAGCTCTTTGCGTAATCTCTGTAGTGCAACTGCACAGGACAATATGTCGAACTGAAATTCAGAATAGGCTCCTTACGAGTTTTAAGTGTACATGTATTTCTTTTTGTTGGGTAATTCAAAACTATTATACATGCAACGCATGCTTTTATGATGCAGGATCATTCCTTTTCTCAGCCATCCATTTTTCCTATATCACGAGGGAACTATTTTCAGATCTTTGAATCAATACCCTCATTGCATGTTCATAGTACTATCTGTTTGTAGTGATAGCTTATATCCTTACTTTTCAGACGGGTGCAAAGAAGGTTTATAGGAAGTTCAAGCATTTTAAGGGTACCACAGTCGACCAGACATGCAGATCTGTGACATATCGATGTTGTCTTTGTGGGGTGTCATCAAATTCGTTCCAGTTGTTGCCCACTGAAGAGCAAGAGAGGGGAAAACCTTGTGTGAAAAATTCAAACTTGAACTTACCTGCCGAGGTCAACTAGCTATCATTTAGTTCTTTGCTTACTATTATCGTCACTAAATTATTCTAATCTACTAATTTAGTTGTGCTCACCGAATACAGGAATGTGCTGCTGCTTTTGTATTTTTCAAAACGCGGTATGCAGCGCTAATTGTATCCAAAATTCTCCAGACATCCAATCCTATGAAATGGGTCACTAGTCTGGCCCCAGAACCGAAAGACATGTACTGGTCAAATCTTTGGTTACCGTACAAGCAGCTTTGGATTCGCCGCATAGCTACACTTCTTGGTTCTATTGTTTTTATGTTCATTTTTCTTGTACCTGTGACATTTATACAAGGTCTAACTCAGCTGGAACAGCTGCAACAAAGGCTCCCTTTCCTGAAAGGGTTATTGAAAGGGTAAGTAATCTTAACGCTTAGAACTCACTTGTTATTATTAAATGCAGGGTTTAACTCAGCCGGAGCAGCTGCAGCAAAGGATCCCTTAATTTGTATTGACAATACAATGTGCATTAATCAAAATGACTCAATTTGTTAGTAGGATTTAATCTAGGGTTGAGTATCCGAGATAACATTCAATTATGAGGCCTTCCCTTTCTCTAAAAAAGCCATCACAATTATGGCGGTGGTTCAAATTAATAGGTATAGTTTTGAGGCATATAATTCATATTTTGTCGGTCCAATTCATGATCTAGGAATGCGCGTGTGCCTTATAAGCCGGACGGGTGGGAGTACTGAAGTGTGGAGATATTGCAGTCTTTAATTCATCATTACAGAAAAATTTAACGATTATTAGTTCTCCTGCAGGAAAATCATGACCCAGCTAGTAACTGGATACCTTCCCAGTGTGATCTTGCAAATATTTTTATATACTGTCCCCCCAACCATGATGATGTTTGCGACACTAGAGGGACCTATTTCTACCGAAAAAGGCTTTCGCCCCGCTTTATAAATAAAGCAAACCGCCACAGAGCATACAAACCCACACAAGTCCACACACACACCCAAGTCTCACGACAAAGTACATAGGTTCTGCTGAGGGCACAGCTCAACAAGCCCAGAAGGAAAGAAAAAACAACATCATCATCACACAAGGCGCCTAATCAGGCTCCGGCGGAAGAGGGACCTATTTCTCACAGTGAAAGGAAGAAAAGTGCCTGTTGTAAAGTATTATACTTCACCATTTGGAATGTTTCTTTGTCAATGTCTTATCAGGTTCTGCAATTAACCAACTGAATGCCTTGTCAAGACCAAAGGACATTCCAATGGAGCTTGCCAGGGCAATTCCTTTACAGGTGAATCACATGTTTATGTTCTGTTGTTTATGAAGATGCAAAATATAAATATTTAACTAGGTATATACAGTGTATTTATTTGTTTTTAGGTTGAGTTTCTCCAGGTGCTCGCTGCATTTTATTGATGACTTCTTTTTTACTTCCATTTCAGGCCACCTTCTTTACCACCTATGTTCTGACTTCAGGATGGGCTAGTCTGTCGTCGGAAGTTATGCAACTCTTTGGTCTTATTTGGAACTTTCTAAGGAAATATATTCTGAGAATGAAAGAAGATAGCGATTGTATCCTCTCGTTTCCGTATCACACTGAACTACCAAAAGTTCTGTTGTTTGGACTATTGGGCTTCACATGCTCTGTGCTAGCACCTCTGATCTTGCCCTTTTTACTACTGTACTTCTTTCTTGCCTACATTGTGTACCAAAATCAGGTGAGTAACTAGATATAAACTTCAAACATTTAATTTGTTTGCAAACGAAGTTCTTATTTGAAGTCCACATGCATAATTTGGTCTATAATATGAATAAAGTAAAAAATATATGTTCCAATGTGTATGTGATCATTTTGTCTGAAATTATTCTTTTATAATGGGCGAAATTTGAATTTGATAAATCCTCATGTGCTAGCTCCATTTTAGGTGAAATGCAATCTTTCTCTTGGATATACCATCTGACATGTTTTCTCTGGTCTTGTATAACTTTATTGTGGTTAGATATCTTTTACTTAGTTATTTAACCTGAGTTTTAGGATAACTCAAACCGTTTTCCTAGTTTGTGATTTTGTTTACACTACAAAATATTCGTGGAAGAATGTCCTCTGTGCTCCTATAACCTAATGGGTTGGTAATTTATCATTTTCAGTTCATCAATGTTTATTGCACAAGATACGACACTGGTGGTCTATTGGCCAATTGCGTACAATGCGACAATATTCTCTCTGGTGCTCACCCAGATCATCTGCCTTGGTGTCTTTGGCCTTAAAGAATCCCCAGTAGCTGCAGGCTTCACTGTACCTCTTATCATCACCACTCTTTTATTCAACCAGTATTGTAGAATGCGTCTTCTGCCGTTATTTGGGACTTTCCCTGCACAGGTTAGTATAATTTCTTTAACAATTGGTAGAATTTAACTTATACATACAAAGGGCTCCATAGAGAACTTATTATTCATCTTAGTGTCGATCTACTACATTTTAATGCTTTCAACTGGGAGTAGGTAACTGGCATGTTTTATGTTCTGAATACTACTCCCTCTGTAAACTAATATAAGACTTTTAGATCACTAAGGTAGTTACTTTAAATGGATCTTTTATATATATAGTTCTCACTTGCCATTATTTGTTGTTGGACACGCACAGGTTTTGATAGACATGGACAGAGAAGACGAGCAATCGGGCAGAATGGATGAGATTCACGAGGGCCTCCATTCTGCCTACTGTCAGTCCACCGACATGGAATCCGCCGACGACATATCTCTGGAAAGAGTTCAAGCTGTCAGTACAACAGATGAAGATGGCAGCGGCAGCTCAGGTGAACCTAGCGGCAAAGAAAGTGTCGGACAACCAGTAACCGACTTGTCTCACCCGACACTGAAAGGGCTCCCCGTTGATCGGTTACGGCGCGCAGTGAGATCACTCGGTTTCATGATCGGGTTGCAGAAAAGAGGCGTGTCAGCGTAAGCCGTGGTTGGTGAATGTACATACTGCATACAATGTGCACATAGAACAACACAGAGAGACCAAGATACACACATACGGATATTACGCGGCTCCAAGAAAAGAATTTTTTTTTGGAGTGTTACCTGTTTTTCTTTTCTTTTGAAAGTCGATGTGTTTGCCTGTTTGGTTGCAAGGGTGCAATTTTGTGTTTAAATCGACGCCTGCGCGGACTTTTCGGGCCATTTTTGGCCATGCACGGACCCTTGAATTGCTTGCTGCATTGTAGCCTCAGTTAAACAAGTTGTTGTGGAAGAAAGCAATCCATCCAATCCATGTCTACGCGTGCCTTTGTTTTGTTCGACTGTTATGTGCCCCTGGCCCTGGGCTGAACCATGTACCATCCTTTTACAGCGGGGAATACATCCATTTCTGCGACGAGTAATTTTGGACAGCCAACAGAGGAAGCATAATTGTATGATGCCAAACGAAGTACAAGGAATGACTTGCGATCGATTATTAGTTCCAGTCCAGAATTATTATTACAAGAGTAGACGAGGAAGTCAACGATGGGCCGGAGCACGGCCCGCGCCTCACCTCACATCACAGGATAGCGCAGGTGGAGGACTCCTCGACTGCGCCGGAGGTGGAGCCAGCGGCCTTGTCGCCGGCGGCGGAGACGCCCGGCCAGTCGCGGCAGGCGCAGTGCTGGCCCTCGGGGATCTGCCGGTGCACGGAGGCGACGTGGCGGCCGCACCCCGCCCACGTGGACTTGCCGCACGTGCCGCACTTCACCTGGTAGCACATCGTCGCGCTCGCTCGGTTGCTCTCTCCGGTGGCGATGGCCGATGGATGGATGGATGGATGGATGGATGATGGAGCGATGGATGTCCGTGGCTTGAAGACGACTCGCTGGCTGCGTTATTTATGGACGGACGGACGCTCGGCGCGGCGGCTTTGGCCCGCTGTTCTCTTCTCTTTAGTTTAATTTAGTTTGACAGCTCCGTTCCTGCCTCCGAAGAAGAATTGAAGAATTGACTTTTCTTTTTCAAAGAACAAGAATTGAACTGATCCTGGCAAACACGGCATCGGTCGGTGTGCTGCGCTGGCCTATGCTATTGCGTTCAGCGATAACAAGGGAGATGCGATGTGACGACCCAAGTCTAAAATAAATCTCGAAATGAGCAGCTGTTATTACTCCCACCATTTCATAATATAGTGTGCTCGCGTTTTTTGAGATTTAAATTTGATCATAAATTTAACCAATGAGTTCCAATGGTATAATATTTGATGATATACAGATCTCGATATATTATTTGATGATATAATATTTCGATATTTGATGAGAAAAAGGAAATTCAGAAAAATATTATACATATCTCGATATATGATCTCATTAATATAGCATCGACTGATACATAACGAAATATCAATCGACTGAGATTTAGCAAGACTGTATTTTAATTGCAAAAGTGAATATATCTCTCTAGCTAAATTGTGCCAAGTACCCTAACACAGCCGGAGAAATGCTTGCCCAAAGGAGAGCCATCACAACTTGTGATCTGTGCGTTGGGAAAATCCCAAGAGGCGGCACAGAAGATCCGACCAAGCAACTCACTTGCTTACCTCCCCTCGAGAAAAAAAACATTTGCTTACCTCGTTCAGATTCAGTTCCATGATTCCATCACACCATCAGCAGAGAAGGCCTCGTAGACCCAGCAAAACTGCGTACTGCGAAATAAGCTTGCCTCATTGATTACCTCAGCCGGTCGTGGGCTAGTGAATTCTCGTTCAGATTCGGTTTCTTCGCACTACCGGTGCACGCAACACACGGCCGCGTAGACCCGCTGACCTCCAGCGACAAAGCGTCTCAAATTTCCTCATCAATTGGGTGGTCTTTCAAATTCTACAGAAATGTGGGAAATCATTGAAACCTGTCAAGCCTCATGCTTTGACGATGGATATGTGAAATCTGTCAAAGCTTGTCGTGGTAATCTCACGTCAGATGCCAGGGATGGTTTATCATGGATGAGGCCAGAAAAACGTCGTCGGGTCCTGAAGGCGGGAGTGAGCACGAGCTCGATCGGACATGAGACATACCCAGGTTCAGGGCTCTCCGGAGAGATGAAACCCCTACTCCTGCTCTGTGGGGTATCCACATGGTGACTATAATCAATATGAGTAGAATGGTTACTCCTAGAGCTGTGTTGCTAGAGGAGGAAGAAGGGCAAGGCTAGCTCTCTTTTCCCTAGCTATGGTGTGTGGGTGAACTGAGGTTGGAACCCTTTGCATGGGTGAGGCCTGGGAGTTTTATAGGCCAATCCCCAGGGGTACAATGGTAATACGGCCGGGTGTAGGACCCGGCCGTCAGTGTCTACGGTCGCCGGGTTCTCCGCCGACTGCTGGGGCCCGCCTCTGGAAGGCCTCGCCGGCTGCCGAGAATCCGGCCGACAGGTGGGGCCCGCCGCCTGCAGGCCCCATTGACGACTCTTCATTGTAGCGCCGCACGTGCTGACTGAGGCTGTGTCGGAGGCTGCATGGCTACAGTGTCGCGCCGGGCGGGTCAGCGGCCGCCTGGCAGCGCTTACATTAGCCACGCTCGGCCGAGGTTTGGTGGGAGCGTATGGCACTGTTGCCATGCCCCAGCTTGTCACTTGGTCGGGCTCAGTCTCCGAGGGAGGGGACGGGTCGCCTGCTACTACTAGAGGCCGGCCCATACCCAAGCCGCCTTCTGGGAGCACGCCATCTTCTGAAGGCCGGCCGCGTGGCACCAACCGACTCTGGAAGCCGGACGCAAGACCAGTCGGCTTGAGGGACTCAGCTTGCCCCGATGTCTTGAAATGTCTTTGAGTGTGGATGAGGTTGCTCGGGGTCTATCCCCCGACAGTAGTCCCCGAAGCTGGTGAAGTTGTACGGATGGCAACCGGAGTGCCTCAACAGTTTCTCCTTCGAGGGATCCTTCGCCTCTGCTCCGTCCGGCTGGGAGAGCCCGCGAGCCAGGAGCCGACCGCAGATGCAGCCGCCCGTTGGAATTCGAATCGGCGTGGCGGGCGCTGGGGAGGCGCTGCCCGCCGCTTGAGTCCCATACGGTGCCAGCAGGCCAGGCCGGCCTGCCAGCCCACGTGCGCGACGGGACGTTGCCGCAGGCCCGCGCCCACCACTACAGGGCCTCGGCACGCGCGCAGACCCACTGCGGCCGAGGTGGGCGGTTGCCCTTCCGCGACGATTTTATTGCGCCTTTACAGCGCGGGATTCGCGGGGTCGTGCGGGGAGTGGGCGCAGTAAAACCCCCGCCTCCGCCACGTCGACTCGGCTTCGCCACAGCCGCCTATAAGTAGGGGAGGGGAGGGGCAGTAGAACGCACGCGCGCCTCCTCCATCTTCATCTTCTTCCTCGTCTTCTTCGCCGTTGCTGTTGCTCCACCGCTGCTACTGCTCCACCGCTGCCGCTTTGAGCTGCCTAGCGCCGCCACGGCACCATCTCCTCCACTTCTTCGAGCCGCCACCGAGCCGCCCGAGCCATGGCGAAGAGTTGGTGGGACGGCTCAAATGTGCACGAGGGGCACATCGAGTTCCTCCGCGCGACGCGGAGGCTTCCCCACGCCGGCGTTCTGGAGGTGCGCCTTCCCGACGAGCGGGAGGTCTCGCCAGCACCGCGGCCTGGCGAGTTCTTCGTCTTCCGCACTCACTTCCTCCGAGGCTTCGCGCTGCCCATATGCAATTTCTTCTGCTCTTTCCTCGATTTCTATCATCTGCAGCCGCACCACCTCACTCCCAACACGGTGGTGCTGTTGTCCGCCTTCGTGACCTTCTGCGAGGGCTATCTCAGCGTCCTGCCATCGCTTGACCTGTGGGGCAGGTTTTTCTACCTCAAGCTGGGCATCCAGGCCAAGGACGAGCCTGCCCAATGCGGGGCCTGTGTCACCGTGCGACGCTCAAAAGGCGGGACTCGTTTTCCGTCTATCGCTCTGCTGGAGTCGGCGAAACTCTCACAGAAATCATATTTTTACATTCGGAATCTCCACCCGACGAACGACTACATCAGCCTGCAGGCCTTCATGATCGGGCCGCCTGCTGGGCCACGGGACAACTGGAGCCAACAGTCGCCAAAGCGCTTGCCGCCTGCTATCACCAACGTCCTCGTCCGGCTCCAGGAGATGACGGTCGAGAGGGGCTCAAGCCGGACGACTTGTTGTCCGCCTTCGTCCAGTGCCGGGTTTCACCTCTCCAACTCCAGCTGCATCTGATCTGTGAGATGAATGACCGCCGGTATCCATGTCGGATGTCCATTAAGGATCTGCCGACTGTCGAGGCGGCCTGGCGCGTGAATTACTTCTCCAAAAGTGAAGATATTTTTGTAGCGGAATTGTGCCAAGTACGCTAACACAACCGGAGGAATGCTTGCCCCAAGAGGAGCCATCACGACTGTGCTATGTGCGTTGGGAAAATTCCAAGAGGCGGCACAGAAGATCCGACCATGCAACTCATTTGCTTACCTCCACTTGTAAAATAAAAATGAAAATCATTTGCTTATCTCATTCCGCTTCAGTTCCATGATCCCATCACATACCATCAGCCACACAAAGGCCTCCTAGACCAGCAACGTAGACAAACAAAATTGCCTAGTACGAAATAAGCTTAGAGCATCTACAGCCGGACGCCTAAAATTCGACCCCTAAACGCCCGCGGACACGACCGAACGAGTCTGTAGAAAGTGACCGGTCGTTCCTTAAATATTTGATTGTGCAACCAAACATCTCAAATTAGAAATCTCAAATTCATATTATTATATGCAACATGAAACCTAATCTAAGCGGAGCTCGCCCGGTTCCGCCGTGGCCATGTCCCGATGTCCGGCGGCCGGCTGCGCTCCCCAGAGTGTTGGTCCGGTTGCTGGCAAGGTAGAGTAGGGCATGTGACACGAGCCGACTACGGGACTCAAGGCGCCGCTCTCCCATGCCCTACTCTTCCTCGTCGGAGCCCAAAACCTGAACGGTGTCGATGAACCTTAGATCGATGGTGGATCTGTCCTATGACGAGCCGGACACGTCCACTACGATGCGATTACGGCGCCCGGATTGCTGCACTACCGGAGAATGAGACTCCGTCAAAAAAAAAAAAGAAGGTTATTTTAAAATCTGCGATCTTTTACGGGATCGGGTAGAGATGCTTGTATGCTCGTCGACCAAATTAATCTTCGTTGCGAGATTGTGCCAAAGTATGTCAACGCAGCCGGAGAAATGATTGGATGCAATGATTTCGGTTGATTTCCAGCTACGGTTGGTCCACACAGAGGCGCCACAGAAGATCCGCCCTTCAAAAAAGAAAAAAGAGAGGAGCAATCCATTGCTTAGCTCGTTCTGATTCAGTTCCATCACACACCATCAGCAGACAAGGACACACGGACACACGGACACGCCTCGTAGCCAGCCGCCGCCTCCGACGTAGCCAGCCGCCGCCTCCCCAAAACTAAGGTTCTTTGCCTCCCACCAGCGCCGGTGCCGGTCCGTCCCGTCTCCGGTGGCCTTAGGGCCATGGAGGCGGAGTGGATCTCGGCCTTTGCCGGTGGGAGGGCTCCGCTTTCATATTTTTTTTCGAGCTTTGTTAGGGTTTATGTCCTGCTCAGGAAGGCGAGACGGCGGCGGCTCCCTGAAGATGGAATAAAGGTCTCCCCGTCTAGTCCCTGTTACGGTGATGTGTGTAGCATCATCGGTGGGCGTGTGGAGGTGTGTCTCCGGCGGATCTGTCTTTGGTGAATTTGCTCGGATCTGTTCGTCGTTCGTCTTCGTTCGTGTGTCTTCAGGTTGG